CACGCACACACACACACACACACACACACACACACACACACACACACACATATATATACAGTATATATATATAGATACGCATACACAGGCAAAAATTTACATGTATAGAAACGCTTGTAAACACAGAAAAGTTAATCACCGTATAATGATAATTATAATGAAAGTACAATTGTTAGGAATGATATAAATGATTGGTTAGTAATATGCCCCACTACATTACATTGTGTAACAATACACAATAATAAACAACCCGATTACCCGATTTCAATATCAGCAGTTATTATAAACTCCCATAGAGTTCCGAGTACCGGTGCATCAGCCCTAATAAGCATATGAGAAAGAAACATTAAAGTCAAAACGCGACAGAGAAACGTGAAAAGCATCCATCATCAGTAATATAAACATCTGGTAGAAACAGGTAACCTCCAGGAAATGTAATATTTAAGAAACTGAAACATATAATAAGCGTAGCATAAACCCTGCAAAACTTTAAAGATGACTACTGTGAAGAGCGCTCCAAGACACTAAAAATTTGTTAAAAAAAAAGTATCTTAAATTAAAAAACAACATACATATGTTGCAATCCAAACTATTTCCATAGATGTATTTTTAACAAATAAGAAATAAATAGTAAAATGTACAACAATTTCTTACAAAAGCAGAAGAAGAAATGTATATATGCAAAAAATAAGTAATATTCTATATGCTATGTAATTCTTACTGTCGGTTCAGGAACTCCGAACATAATATGTATTCCCACAAGTGTGACATGACTGCAGCATCTGCCCTGCTCATTACTTATCATTATATGCATTGTTTCAATATATACACATAAATTTGTAATGTCTTATTTTATATTAATAAAAATATAGGTTTAATTGTTTATAGTATATTGTGTATAACAAATTCACGCTTTATGTTTGTCTGTTGAAAATAGGTGCGCAATTTTTTAAAATAACTTTTTATATGGTAAAAAATTTTACGAAAATGTCAACGATGTTTTCATTACTTAATGTACATTTTACTTAATCTTCATTACTTAATCTACAAAGTATACTCACCAAGAATGCTCTGCGTTAAAACCAATCTGTGTAAACAGAAATTATTTTTATGATACACTGAAGCTAATAATAATTAGTTTTAATATAAAAATAAAGATATAATAATATATATTACTTACTCTGCCATTATTTCCAATACATAGTGTAAAAGATTTATCGAACCATCGATCATATCCTTTTCCATGTAATAGGTTCGTACCGTAATGATCTAACTTTTCTGGATGTTTCTAATGTACGAAATAATTATAAGAATTATATTAATTTGCAAATATGATTAATATTTATATTGTTTAAAATGTTTTTAAATAACGTACTGAATCATATTCATAAGGTACATCGTCCAATGCGACTACAAAGGCCGCCTTTTCAATAATATCTAAAGAAGCCTTATTTACTCCTTTCGCGAAGAAATCTTTTCTGGCTTGCGCCCAGGTAGTTCTTTCACCAGCTGTTAAAGCAGCTAATTTCTCCTCTCCTTCCGATGGTGTTGAATTATCGTCCAAAATTTGTTGAATCTGACTGTAAGGCGATATTATAATACACAAATGTAAAAATACATACTGATGAAACAATAACTTACAGTTCTATCTCACAAGGTTGAAGAATTCTATTTCGGTAATAAATTAAAACTTTGAAATATCTGCCTTTATGATACACTACAATATGTCTAGAATCCTGATAATGCACAATTTTGTCAACTTCAATTCCTGGAATTCGTGTAGTATTGAATACTCTTTCATATTGCCAAGAACACAATGGTACCAATCCTTGAACTAAAATCTAAAAATGTATATATATTTTTAAATATAAGTCTCTACATGATTATAAACTTGTGCAATACAAAATATCAATTTGTAGCTCTTATTTTATGCTTTATATAATGTTCTCTAAAGAAAAAATAAATAGAAATAAAGATATTACAAATAAAAATCCATATGCATTTCCTAAATGTACGAAACTTTCTTCATTTTTAAATATAATAATAAAATAAATGATTAACAAAAGAATAACTAACAGGTTCTAATTCTTGATGCTCGATGAGACGTCTATATTGTAAACAGGAATATATTACAGCTCCGGCTCGGGCGGCTTGCAAGTTCGTGAAATGGGTGAGAATGGCGTCCATCCCGTAGAAATTTGAGTTGACCATTAGAGGCGATCTTCCGCGTAAATAAACATATTCCTCCCACCAATCAGATACATAGTTGGTGGCCCACCAAGACTTGAGGATTAGGTAACGCTGCAGTTTGACTCCGATGCCATTCTGGAACTCCTTGGCTAGCTTTTCCATGCGAGCGTAATTCTCATCATCGAGCAACGGCCGTACGCTTCTCAGATACTATTTAAATGTACAATACTTTGATTTTTTTCACTACAATGGTAAAGAGAAATGCCTACAGCTGTATAGACTAAACTAGAAACTAAATTAAAATATTCATTAGACCAGCAATAATTTCGAATTCAATTACAATCATTCCAACACAGAGATTATAAAATACGTTATCAAGCTAACCCGTTCCATAGTTTCAGGTACTGTCGGTAGTGGCAATCGTGGCAATGATCCTTGGAAGCTGTACAGCATGGGCTTATGCCAACCTGAAAATAATTTCACCAGCAACAGCCAAAATTGGGTCAATTTTGACGGCTTGCGACCTTTGCCTCTCGCCTCATACATCCATCCTTTGTACAAAAGTAATAGCTTCAACGTGTATCGAATCGCGTATATAACCGCCAGCCATAGGAACAGCCCGACTACGAAGGAGCCTGCCAGGTGTGCCAGTACTGAGGAACTATTACGAAAAACAATGATTATCAATTACCGCTTCATCCGCGTGCGTGTGGAATGAATAGAAATAATTTATAATTGTGAAACTCAGAATCACATAAACTTACCCAGAAAGATACGGCGAAACTTTCCCAACTAGGTCATACGGGACCTTGTAACCAGCAAAGTGTATCGCCGTTACTAAAATTACAGTAACCCATAAACTTGTCAAAGAAGCTGGATAAACGCCGCTTTTCAAATTGTTCTGTGAAGAGAAAATGTAAAGATCTACGTTAATATTCTTATCGTTTAATAATATTCATTATTTTATATTAATATTCGGTATTTGTTCAAATATTAGAAAGTTCAAATATCGGCGTATATTTCATTTACCAGAACACCGCGACTCACCTGAAACCGGAAAAATCTTTTTTTCCACGACCTTACACCAGAGAGCCAGACCAAGTGGAGTACCTCTCGATCGAAGTTTACATCCCATCCTTCGTGTGTTATTGAAAAGCTGAATGCTACGGCCGAATGGGCTTCCGCCATCCTGCGTTAGCCTTCCTGTAAAATGCGTATGTTGGAATTAATCTAACAATTAACATTTCTGTTGACTTAATTATAGCCTAGGTTTACATTGCCATTCAACTGGTAAGAAACAAAGTAAGAGGTTTTAAATAATGTTAAAACAGCTGTCGATATTATGATTCCAAATATAAAGATATATCAGGATGTACATATGCCAGTCAATATATGTTAATCATATAAAAATTAAAGTTTAATATTTAAGATAAAAAAATTAGTTTTTATTGAATTTAGTAATAGAAGGGTATCACATTTATTAAAAATATCACGTTTTTTTAAATCCCGAAAACAGGTTCATTAAGAACATATATGGGTTAAACGACAGAGAAAGAGCAACCTCGTCACGACGAGCTATAAGCGATCGTAACGATAATAATGATGCAGGGTGAACACAGATATACCAGTTGACCTTACTTAAAAGCCATAATTGCGGTGCGCACGAGTGCGTGTATGAACGCATTGTAGAACGTCGCCAAGCTGGTAAATACGGACCATCATATGGCAATGAGTTCGGTGTACTTGCAAATCGCCATTTATGATATATAGATTTATAAAATTTTAAGGAGCTCAATACTCAATATACATATAATCATATTCGACTTTCAAAAGAATGTTTGATAGAGACTGTATTTATTCTAAATCTTCGCATTTATCATTTCTCTTCCAATCTTTTTAGTAAAACTAATAAAACTAACAAGTTTTATTCGTAATATTTCTAAAATTAAAAAACTTTTTTGTTTGTATGTATATTTAGTTTCAAAAATAATATCTATAAATCTAGTTAAAACATAAAGTGAAAAATTGAGCAAATTTTTTTTCTTATAATATCGAAATAAATTGGTTTTTTTACATGCATATTTTCGAGGGTATATATTTATAAAATATACTAAAAACTGTTCATATATATTAATAAGCAGCTGTAAATCTTGTCATAGCGTCTATTTTCGTAAAGAATATTCACTAATCTAGAATAATAAGACAATAAAATATTTTCAGTACAATCTACTCTAATGTGAACGCGAATAATAATCATATGAAAAAATGAAATTTATTTTGATAAATATGACATCAATTTAATGGATCGAAGAAAACATGTTTATCTTGCAAAAGCCTAAAATGAAAAGGAAAAAAACATAAAAATTATAATTTGGAATGCAAGAATGTCAAAATATACAAAAATAAAATGTTAATCATGCAAATAATTAATTATTAATTAATAATCAATTATTAATTAAGATTATTAAAAATGAAATAATTAATTTTCGATTAACTCTCAATATTTTACATCAATTATTTAGATCAGTCGCATATGTAATTAATAAATAACATTCTATAAAATATTAATATCTGTTGTTATTATTATAACAACTTTTGTTATAATAATTTATATAAATTTACCAAACTTTTAATTTGTAGATTAATATGATGTTATTTGGTGATAAGATATTATAAAATCATCTACTACAAAATAAGTGTACTTTTTTTTTATATAAAAGCTTTTCATTTTTTCTATATCTCGTATATTAAATTATAATAATATTATTGTTGTAGAATTTCCATCATCATGGAGTAATAATATTATGCGAGTTGGCAGTTGTTGCGAAGTGAAAGTTCTGCGTAAAAAATTCGTAAAAATATACATAAATATATTCTAGGTTACAGAGTATGTGTGTAATATGCAAAGTGTTTTAAAAGATTAGAGACTGTTACGTGAACCAAGGATGTTGAGAGCCGAGGATGGTCTTCTCCAGTGTTACAATTTTGGTTACAAAAAGTGTACTGTATGCGAGATAGAAAGTCCGTCTGCGTTTCACTTGATTTTCACTTGAGTCATGATGGAGAGGAATATTGGGAGAATGGGAGAAGAACGCATCTGACAGCTTCTGTTCACTACAAGATTTATAATTAATTTAATGCTAAAACTTGCACGCGCACGTTCGCGAATAAGCTACAAATACAGAAACATTAGCAAATATGTCACTTAGATAGAGGAAAATAAATTAACGATAATTCGCGAGGATGTCCGAACGAATTATGTAGACAGCTCGTCACGCTTTCAGATCGGAGATTTTTTAGCGAGAGTGCTCAATTCACATTCGAGAATCATTTTCCTCTTGATTTCACTAGGAAAGCCAGTTTATTATCAATGATATCAGGACACTGTGTGTTGTTTAATAAAAGTTACGATTTCTTTTTAAATTTTGTACGTGATTTTGGAAAGATAATTGAATTAACTCTCATTGTTATAGGAATATCTACAGTAAATATACGTTTTTTAAAAATATTGAAAAATGATGGATACCTCGTAGAGAAAAAATTAAATAGAACATTATACATTCGTATACTTTTACGTAATGTTGTACAACTTTTGTATATAAGTAATAATTTTGTGCAAATATTGTCTAATCTTTTCTGTACAATTTTACGTAATATGTTGTACGACTTTTGTATGTAAGTTGTAATTTCGTACAAAATTATCTAATCTTTTTTTGAACAGTTTTACGCAATGCTGTATAGCTCTTTTTTATATAAGTGATAACTATACGCACAATTAAATATCGTTTGATCTCTTTGAGAAAAAAACATTCAGAAAATATCGACATGAAGAAATCATCCTCGACTCTAGGTTATCATTCCCCCACGCAATTCACAGGTATATAGTAACTATACCCATTTGTGAATGTGACTAATAACCTTGGACTTTGAACAACGACTCGTCCGGTTAGAAGAGCTGTCTATAAACTTAACGAATAATTGCGCATGATCTTTTGACGCTTTCAGATCTACCCACGTTGCATTAATGTATTTATCAATTATAAAAACATTCGAAGATGTACTTGCGATGGCTATTCAATTGGATTATCTTAATGAAAATGTGATAATCAGGTTGTCTGTTTTGTTTGTTCTCGGTAGGCGCAAGTCAGTCTGACGATAGACGTCTATTTTTTAGAATGTAATAATCGTTTTTCAATTGATAATTTTTTGATAAATCGCTGATAGAAGAAAAATTGTATTCTTGAAGGATTTTAATCGCTTTTCATGCGTTCTTTTAAACCAAAAAGTCATGCTCGATGACTGTACGTATGTCGGTATTATTTAGAAATAGTTTCTAATCAGAATCTAAATACGAGTCGCATTTTGTATGCAAGTCTTTTAATTTTAGTAAAATTATACAAAAGAGGATATACAATAAAATTATGTATAAAGGTTAATAAATAAAAATGAATAAAGGGCATAAGAGTCAAAAATTAAAACTAATCTTAAATGTCAAATTTTAAAAATATATTACGAAGATAAAAAATAGAAGATATACATTTATATATTAGGATTAAAGGATATACATTTATTATTTATTTTCCTTTTTTTGCTCTATCTCTCTCTCAAAAGTTGTTGAAACATGGTGGACAAATTAAAGGTGACTGTTCCGTATCTTGATTCTGATTAGAAGGTCTTTAGATGTCATTGTGGTGACAAATAAATTACATCGAGCAAGCTCCACGCTGTACTTTTACAAGTATATATGATGGTCATGAGCTGTATTTGTCAGTGACATATATATGTGTATTCCGTTGATCTAGTCTAGGATATTTAATTGGTTTATAAATTTTTTTTACAAAAAAGGTATCAGGCAAAACAAAATCGATTGTTATATACATAATCAATGTTTCAAAGTCAATGACAAATGCAATTATGCGGAAATATATATAACGTTTCTCTCTCCCTTTCAAACCGCAAACATAAACAATCACCTATCGTATATAACTCCGATAAATAAAAAGGATTACCAATCACAGAAAAGCAGTCAAGTTCAGATATGAATCCTGTTTGCTTGATAAATTATTAAAATAATCTGATTCACTCTTTAAGCCTGTTCTCATCTGTCGTCTTAAACACAGATAATATAGTATACGTGCATATAATATATACATATTTTTGGTAAAAAATTAATCTGTTATTAAAAGTCGATGTTTTTACAATAAATTTAAAAATATAAATCAATCAAATCTTAATAACATCTGCGATTTTCAGATGTATAATTTTAAATATTCTAAGATTGAGGTATCTATTTGAATTTCTGATTTCTGAAAATTTTTACTATCATATAAAACTAACTAAACTAAAGAAGGAGATCACCAGAAAACAGCGAAAAAATTGATTGTAGCAATGGAAATAAATTAATGCTGCCTATGCCTTTTCTTTGTAAATTTTATACTTTTGCTGTTATAAATTCTCGTATACGTGGTTTCAAAAAGTCATTCTTTAAATGTATATTGTTCAGCACGGTATCTGATTGAGAGAGCATATATGTACATATATATATATTTTTACACATTATAAAATGCTTTTGTGATTTTATAGTGCTTTCATGAGCAAAGGTGTTAAAGAATTTCTCTGTTACTTGCAATAAGAAATAATCGTAAGTGACAGTTTGTACTTTCATTGTGCACTCTTCGTTATTTTATCAGTATGTATAATAAGCAATAGTTTACTATCGCGACATGACTTATTGAACTTTACTCGACGATACTAAACATTTACTCTTGATACAGAGTGACGTTTTGATCATACACGTCAATTTCCTTATCTAACCTTTCTTGATGTAAATTGCATCACTAAATTAATAGAAAATCTTACTAGTGAGATAAAAATCGTTAGCATAATTTTAAATGATCTTTGGTCTGCTGAATTAACTATGCGCGATTTTTTTACCATGTGCCTAATATAAATTTTAAAATTTTAAAAATGAAAGTTTTTTTTATCATATATATATATATAGACATAATACTTTGTATCAAATTTTTATTAAATAAACAGACGTTTTATCTGAAACACAAAATTAAAATACAATAATAAAAAAATCACATTAAATGAAGGATGATTCATATATGCTATTTATTTTATATTTTTTTAATTCGTTATGAGTTACAATTTTGTTAATCGTATATAAGCACGATACATTCATCAATTATCTATATATTTATCGTATAAATTATAACGAAAATTGTGCATTATACTTTGATCTTTGATAATATTTGTACAAAAAATAAGTATTGAGATGTAGTATCACTCGTTGACGTCAACTAGTTACAATTACGATACGCTAATACTGACGTCTGTCGTAAAATTTCCGCGAGGTTTCACTATTTTTTTTTTTCTAATAGTGGTATTGGTCTTCATGAGAAAAATAGTTGTCATCTCATTGTCTTTTATTAACCTAATAACATTTATAAACATTACTATGTACATATTTATACAGCCAATGATTTAATTGCTTATGTATTAACTAAAATTGATATATCCGTATCTCGTTGTTACCGTCGCAATTTAAAAAAAATTTTATTAATCTTTATGCATTATCTTTAGTTTCTTTATGTTTTACTATAATTCGATGTTTTTAAATTTTCTATGTAAGTAGAAAATATAAAAATCTATTTTTTCTGTATATGCCTCTTTAATCCGGATATAAAGAATTTGCTGATAAAAGCCCAACGTGAAATATAAAATATCTTGTGAGAAACCATGTCAAGATATCTTCTTATCGGTGTAACTTCTGTCTGGATGATAATGCGTAATATTACTAATAAAGACTTTATCATTAAAATGCGAGAAGTACTCACTGCATTTTCAATTGATTGTAAACGTTAAATATATATGTTTATCATATTATTTAGTCATAAGTGCCGTGATGAAAACAGAAATTTTTGAATCATTTAACGATGTCTGAATGAAAAAAAATTCACCATTTTTCAATACAATCATTTTTCTCCGATATTTGTTTTCCCTTACATAATTTTCTATTAATAAATAATACGTAATATTTCAATAATTTATGAGTAATATTCAATAAATAATATAGAACACAATACGAAATTAACAAAATAATATAATTTCGAAATAATGATGCACTTTTTGTAAATTAGTCAATAAATTAGTAAATTTAGTCTTCTTAACGGCTCGAAATATTTAACAATACTCGCAATTTTTTCTCTACTTTCTATATTTTCTGCATTGTAGTCTTATTTCAATGTAGTATTTAAAAGAAATATTGCATATGTAATACTTTATTATTAAAAAAATATTGTAATTTTTCTTGAAGTCTCAACAAAAAATACAAAATTTACGACTAATGATAGTTTAAATATATTACCGTACTATATTTGTAATACAAATTAAACAATTATAGTTTTCAAGATTAATCAAGTTTCTCAGAGAGAACTTTAACAAATTACAATTTACTTTTACAAGTTCATGATATTATTCTGCGTATATTAATTAGTTAATAATATACTCGTATTTCTTTATTCATCGATGCGTAACTTTGCATTTATTTTATACAAAAACACTTATGTTTATTTATTAACTTCCTGTTATATACAGGATGATTCAGTTCAACCGCAGGAGCCCGCACGTACACAAAAGTGAATTGAAAATGTTAATAGCAAAATGTTGTGGTATCAATAGTTTTCAAATGCTTACCATCGGAATCTAAGAATTAATTATTTTTTATCGCAACAAAAATATTGCTATTTAGTCGATTGTTATTAAAAAAAAATACTTCTACGCCTGAGAGAGATGAACAAATGATTTACAATCGTTAGTATTCGATATTAAATATATGTACATCAAATATAGAAACGACCTTCGAACCATGATCAAGACGCACGTTAAAACGCGCACACGCGCGCACACACACACACACACACACACACAGTGACGGATATTATTTCCTACATTATTCCTTATCAAAGAGTAACGATACGTAACGATTACTTCTCCATTCACGAGTTTACTCCGAATTAAACTTGTCGACGGCTTCAAGATTGCACGACAGACAAATCGTAAATATCCGCTTTTATTTTGTAATGTACACACCTAATTTATCGGTGATTTGTTCATTGTTGTTTGTGACTTTAATAACGCAATTTAAATCACTTGAGCATTCAGCATATCGGAAAAAAATACATTACATATGTACATTTTTAATTATCTGAGTACGTTAGTTCAACAAGAAATGAGTATTTTTTTATTTATTTTATTTCAACGCGCAGATTCATTTATTCGCAATTGAATTAATTTATTGTCGACACAAACATTTCGTGAGTACGCGATTCTTAATATCGAGCTGATTACTTATATAATCTATTTATAAAGAAATGTGATGTAATTTCCGCCGGAACTATTAAATACGATGTACCGGAAATTTAATCGGCAAAATGATTCGCAGGACCAATAAAGCGAGGCAGTTCGTGAAAAACTTTGCATAAAACAATTTATTATACAGTAAAATTTTGAACTATATATATATTAATTATTTAGCATTAAACTAGTTTATTTATAAATTTAATATTTAAATGGTCATAATAAGGAAACAAATTTTTAATTTATGGTTTAAATATTTTAGAATCTCACAAGCACGTTCAATGCTAAATATATGAATGACATTAAACGAATGTTTAAGTATATTTGGAACAATACTCGGAATTATTCAGTCAAGCGAAAGTTCGAACTATTCAAATTTCCATTTTGACTCTGTTAGATCTTGGGGGACTACCATATAATTTGTATTGTAAGTTGAACTAAAATAAAAAAATATTAACGTAGATCTACATAATTATTAATATCATTTAAAGTTTAGATAGCAAAAAAATGCCA